GTAAACCAAGAACTTTCAGATTCACCAATGAGATTCTTTACAAATGAGCAAGAGCAAAATTGATGCCAAGCTAGACCATACCACAGGCTACCACAATAATTAATCTAATAAATTGCCAAGAAATACTAAAATCAATGAAGGTATCTTAAATAACAAAAAACAAAAGATTGAGATTCAGATCTACATGCAGGAGCTACGTTTTGTGGTTCTGTTGTACTGAAATCTGGGGTGGATACCGATGTGTCCTGAGTATTATTGCAGTCTTGCATTATAAGGTTATTCCAAGGTTTCATGTTATTCTGAACCATGAATGTTGCACTAGAATCACTGGAGCTGGGTTGGTTAGTGTTTGGAAAAGCCACTGCATTATAATCGAGGGAAAGAAATTTCATTGATGGGCATAATTAACCAGTAATACACATGTATATTCCAATGCAATAAGAAAAGTTTCTAAAACTAAATACAAACACCTTGAGTTATAATGAGCACGTTTTTAGTTACAGCTTACTATAAGCATAACATAATTTATGACAACAAAAAATGCTTTTCAAAGCATATTCACAAGTTTGTTTTTACATTTAAACAAAAATTAAATGTAAAGAATCATCAAGTAGGAATAAAAATTTAAAATGAATCAAAACGTTTCTGACCTAATTATTATAAGTTTCCACAATTTGTTTATATTTTCATACTACATTTCTCTGAGGTTGACATAAAAATTAATTACCTTAACTCAAATATCTTAAAGAATAAGGGCTAAACAAGTTTTAGCTGTTGTTACAGGGTAAAAACAGCCATTAATCTATGTACATTGTATGAGTCTTAACTATTAATAGTGGATTTTTCACTTTAACAAAAAACTGAAATAAAGTCCTCTTAAAAAGATAAGGGAAAGAAAATTGTCAATTTCATTGATGTATATAGGACCAAACTATGTTTTTCTGATACAAAGTTCACCTCCCAATAAATTACAAATTTCTTGCCTGGTGCTGAGCTGTTGGTAGCATTATTGGTTTCATGCACTGATTCTTGTGGCATCTGAAATGCAAAGAAAGCAAATATTACATTTACAATAAAGCTTTTTAATCTTAATACAATAACAATTTGCCTTATGAATTCCAACAAAATAAATTAATCCACGAGAAACAATTATGTAAGGCCATGTAATGATAGGCATAAAAATACTGGTCAACATTTACAACAGCCAGCTTGCCATACTTAGATGATAAAAAAACACTTTTAATTTAAATGCTATTGCCTTCTAATTTGATTCTTTACATTCAACACTATAAAAAAAAACCTTTTAGGCTTTTTTCCAAAATGCCTTTGCTTCTCCACTCAAATGCTCCCTTCAATGCTCCTCTTTTCCCTACAAAAATGCTAAGTCTCCTCTAAATAAGTCTCTATCATTACTTTAGAAGATAAATTTACCTCATTCGTCTCTTCATTCATTGAGTAAAATATTACCTCTGAGGAATTCAATAAGGTGCCTTGAAAAGGGACTTGATAATTCTGGATTTCTGAAGTTCATGCAAGAGAAATATTCTTAAGTTTAAGGTGTTGTAACAGGGTAAAAACAGCCATTTCTATATTAATCTTACATTCTATCATTAAGAGCGGATCTTTATGCATGATAAAACTAATTTTGAGACACATTTATCTACATGATAACAGGTCTACAAAAACACTTTTTGTTGATTTACTAATTGTATTACATATAAAGTATCACATATACATATAATGAGAGATGAAACCCCATTCTATTTTACCTTCTGACTTTATCATATCAACCTTGGCTGTAGATGGCCCTGGAAAGAAGTTACATTCTTGACTTGGGAAGGCATTCCAAGGTTGCAAAGTATTCTGGGCCATGATTGTTGTACTTGAATCACTCAAGGTTGGTTGGTTCAAGTTTGACTGAGCCACTAAGTAAAAAGAAAACACGGGAAAGAAAAGTTGGCAAGTTCATAGTTGATGGACATAATAAGCACTAACATTTGACCCAAATATGTGGCAAGAATATGTCACTTTCATCAAAAAACTGAAATAAAGTTCTAGTAATGTGGTCTGTAATTCAATGCAGTCTGGAATTCAACGTTGAAGAAGTTCTCAGCTATGTTATGTAAATGGTGTGTGTTTATATATTAAAATAAATCTTGCTAAATGATCTACAGCAAGATAATATTTATCTGGATAATGAATGATATTCTTGTTTGATCAAAAAAACTTAACCCTTTCTTTCACTCCCAGGAGTGACCAACAAGGAATTTCTCCTTACAACATTCATAAATATTCAAACAGAAAGGCAACTAGAGGAAAGAAATCATCAATAAGCAGGTATTGCTTAATTTCACACAAGTTATCAGAACTAGAATTATAGGGCCGGGGGCATATGGGGAATGGCACAGAGAATTATTCATATTAAGATCTTGGGAGTGAAAGGGTTCAGGCAAGGTTGGTTCGATTGTTGCAAAGCCACTGCAGTAAGAGCATGGGAAATAAAAATTGTCAAGTTCTCTGGTGGACATGCTGTTGTGCCTCACTAATTATTTTCCAAACCAAATAAATCAACTATGTAACAGTTTCCCCTCAAATTGCAGAACTTCAATAAACCCTGATGTCTAAGATTTTTGCTGTTGTTACAGGATATTATAAAACAGCTTTTCTATGTACAGTAGATTGTGTTGGTCTACCAACTGAAGTATATTTCCATGTATGATTTCATCCTTGCTCCAAATTCCAGAATTCAAACTGGAAACAGTGGACAAGAATAACCTGTAGAACTGGAATGGCCTGTACTCAAACCTAGTTAAGCCCATCCAGCCAGGGGTTATCTCGGTTCCTTACTGCATGAAGTGGCAAGTAGTATTAAAATTCCCCCCTAGATGGGCTGTTGGTCCATCACAACATTACCCCCCAGCATTTTATCAGGCTAATTCCTAACAGTTCACCAGTACCCATTTGTTTTGTACTCCTGGGTACGCGTGGAGAGAGGTACTGTGAGAGTCTAGTGTCTTGCCAAAAAACATAACACATTTAACTCTGCCCAGTCTTGAAATCTGGACCTTTTGCCACTGAGACCAGTGCAGGCCTCTACTGGAATGTCCACAGCTAAATTCCCATTTATCCCAATTTTATGGCAATTAATCTACAAAGAGACTGAAATGTTTCTCTATATAATACAGTCATGTACATGTATAATATCTGCAAAAGAAATTTTCATTGTCATTCGGGGGTTTCAAAGTATTCTGAACTATGACTGTTGCACTTGTATCACTCAAGATAGGTTGATTCATGTTTGACAAAGCCACTAAATAAAAGACAACCAAGGGAAAGGAAATTTTTCAATTTCATAGACGTATAGAACCTGTAAACTATGTTTTTCTGATACAAAGATCACCTCCTGATAAACTAGAAATTTCGTACCTGGTGCTGAGCTGATGGTAACATCATTAGTTTTAAATGGTGATCCTTGTGGTATCTGAAATGCAAAGAAAATAAATCATACATTAATTTTATAATGCTGCTTTTTAATCTTAATACAATTACTATAATGATTTGCCTTGTGAATTCTGACAAAATAGATTACTGCACATAGGAAATAATTGGATATCTGAACAGACACTACTTCCAAGCTAGTTGTGAAAATAATGTGCTCTATGACACAGCAAATGAAATTGCATGAGCAATTTTGCTTCAACAATAAATGTTAATGAGCATGCATATATGCATGATGCCAGCAAATGAATGCCTCGAGATTGAAACTTTTTTCTACACCATTAACTGCAAAGTTCACATCCAGTTTCTTGGCCAGAAGTTTTGAGATTTCAAGTTTTTTTTTCTTTCCATTCTGATTGAAATAGACATTCATGTTTAATCTAAATGAAAAGTAAACTTAAAAAAGTAAACTGGAAGGATACTTGAAACTGGAAAGCAATGGACATTTAAGCCTACATGTAAAAAGCAATGAAGAGAGCCTTTGAGTGAACAATGTTACGATTCCAAAATACAAAATGAATTGTACCTGGAAAATGAAAAGTGAATTTGCTGACTTAAGCAAGGCTTCGCCACTTTTCTTCAATGGCTCAAAAAGCTAGAGTTCCTCAACCTCATGCGAGCTCAGGTAGTTAAGAGGTACATACTTACAGTAACATAGAATGGGCAGCAAATTTAAAATTAAAACACCCTTTTTTTGCAGCAACACACCAGCATACATGTATATGCAGGAGTGTGGTAGGATAGCAACTACTGTATGTCATTATTCCTAACATTACTTTATTACTTTTGTAGTGTATTAATTGTGCTGTAAATAGTTTTATTGGTCAGAGTAAGTGGTGCATGCATGAAGTATACAGACAGCACTTTTCAATGGTTTTTCTCTGCACATGTAGGTATTTAAGTGCTATTAACCATAAGTACTGTTTTTTAAATCTCTCTGCTTTACAAAATAGAAGAGCCAATTGGTAATAAACAAGCCAGTTATGTAAAAGTAGAGCAATCATGAATTTATTTTAGGGATATTTTAGACACCAAAATTGTTAGCTAAATGAGGCTCAGAAGAACAAAAAAAAAAGAAATTTAAGTTCACAATTTCTAAAAACCATTATCTGTGATCAACAAGATTCAAATTCAGTGAATGAATGAGAAAATAAAAAGGCATCTTGTTTGGCTAAATGTCTTACAGTTAAGCTTAAGAGTGCTCCAAGTGGTTTTCCACAATTAATTGCAAGTTTCCTAATAGTTAAAGATATCAGGACTGTTGATCCTATTATCAGGGAAATGTTTTAGCATCTGTATAAAACTATTGCTGGGCAATTTATGGCAACAGTACAGCAGTGCTGAAAGAACCTCTAAAACTCAGTGACCAGTTAATATATAACTATATAGATACATAAAATTTTTTTTCATAATTTATCCTACCACAAAAACCCTTTTGAGCCTGTTTAATTCATGGCTTTCATACAAACTGCAGGCATAATACATTGTGTGAGATGACATGAACATACCTGATCATCCTCCAACAGAATGTAAAGAACTGAATTACCCCTCACTGTTTTTTTAAGCATTTTTCCATCCCAAACACGAGGGTTTCCATGAAAAATAAAAGCTGTACTTCCCTGGCCAAAGGATGCGCAATAAAACCTAGCCATATATTAAAAAATGCATATCAATTTAAAAGCAATGATCCATATTCTCCTACTGGACTCCTGATGACACAGTGCAAAATAAATTATGTTTAACTACAAACTAAGATCACTATTACTTTCGTAAATTTTTAAACATATAACTTTTGGTTTTACTGACTTGAAAAAATTTGTTGTCTCAAGTAAAAAATTAGACATTCACTAATCTCAACCACATTAAATTTTCTCGTCTCAAAGAATTTTAACATCCAGTACCACATCAATTTCTACAGTATATGTATAATAAGAAATTAATCAAATCAAAGAATTTCCTTCAACAATTTAAACAGGTCAACCACTAATCAGTCATAATTGAATTCAGTTATCAGTGTATGTCCCGCTGAAACAACAACTGAATTAACAGTTAAAAAATAAAATAATAAAAAAATTGTTTATCATTACCTTCCAGTTAGGTTGAACAAAGGAAATGCTTTCTGGAGTGTTTGCCTCACCACTTCCTCAGACATACTTTTAGAAAATAGAACTTTTTTGTTATACTGTCCAGTGTGTGGCTTTTTAATTTTTGCCATGTCTATGGTTGTTGGCATGATTATTTTGCCATTGTGCTTAACACAATCACTGTCCTTCAGCAACACAACACGTCTGGTGAAGGAGCCTGCACCACTTGATTTTTCCATTAGTTGTTTAAAAGGATTGTTCCTGAAACAAATATTGCATAGCTCTCTGTAACTCTGTATGTATACTGTACATAATGAGTACTTCACTAAATGCAGTTAAATGCAGTTTAACAGAGTCAATAACAAGAAAGAGCATCAGTGTTTCTAGTAGTCAGTGATTTTTTGCATATGTGCATGCATCAAAAGTCCATGTGCTCTTCATTTGAGGCATTCTTGCATGTGCTTTAAGCATGAACTTTCTGTGTTAATTATTTGGAGTGACAGCTCATCATCCAGGCAGTTTTACCCACTCCTTTATTCCCTCTTTCCACTGTTTATTCAGTGTGACAGGTGCCTGTTTCCCTTTCCCACATGGGGGCTCATGGCTGGGTTGCCAGAATTTGCCAGCCATGAGAGCAGTCTCCATCTAGGAGCTGGCTACAATGTCTCCACAGATTTTGAAGTAGTCAGCTAAAACTGCAAAGTAGCCAGTGCTTCCAAATTGAGCACAAATTCAAGCTATGCTTGAAATTGTCTTACAAAAAAAAAGAATCATTTTCTGTGGTTTTGTCTGACAAAAGTAGCCAGCGCTCGAGACATGAATAGCCAGAAAAAACACCAGCCTCAATATTATAAGGTCCTGGATGCCTCAGGCATCCATCCTCTACTTAGCAATGCCATTGTTGACCATGGTTTCCAAAGACATTGATTAATAAAAATTATTTCCTTCTTCTTAACAAAGACAATTTTCCTAACCATTAATAAGAAAATGCACCTGCATCCTTAACATCAAAATGAACTTTAAAATGTTCTCTAGCATTGAATGGTCTTTAAGATCAGGGCCCACTCGTTCAAAGGCCAATCAGTATGCTAACCCAAGGTTAAATTTCAATCTGGGTTTCATTATTCCTTTGTAAACAATTGCCTTTTTTTAAACAAAAAAATTATACATTTAATTTTCTCCTCAAGCTTTCAAATATGAATGGCACAGATAATTGTTCATATTAAGATCTTGAGAGTGAAGGGGTTTATGCACTGCTGTACAAAAAAAGTTCGATGTACAGTAACCCAATGTAGATTTACCTGAAACTGCAATTATACAATTAAAGAATTATGCATTTAATTTCCATTTCAAGCTTTCAAATATGAAATCAAATTTCACACTTATCCTGGGTTACTTTAAACCAGCTTTGAACAACCCAGCCCACCCAGAGGTTTAACTCTTAAGTTACCATTTGTCATCAAACGAAAAAAATTCACACAACTGAAAAATGCATCCACAGACTTAATTTAATTTTTTTGAACAGTTGCCCTTGTGACTACCGTATTTACCCGTGTATAATACGCGCCTATGTATAATACGCACCCCGATTTTTGACCAAATTTTTCATAAACAAAAGTTTTCAGAGCAAAAAAAAACGTTAATTCTTCCTACAACTGACGTTTTGCAGTGGTAAGTTTCGTTACCATTTCGAATTTCTTATCGCTTGTGATTACAGTAATACGGTACGATCGTAATGTTTATCTCGTCAGCTGTTTCTTAAATACTCTACTAAATTTATTTATGGATCGAAATTGAAAATGTTTCATTAGTAGATTATTTAACTCAAGCTTATAAAGACCAATTACTACGAGGCTTTCGTTACTTTCTTTGTTGTGTTTGTGAATCGAAATTGAAAATGTTTCATCGGTAGATTGTTTAGCTCAAGCCAATAAAGACCAATTACTACTGGGCTTTTGTTACTTTCTTTCTTGTGTTTATAACGTATGCAAATTAAGACGTACTTGAAAAACAATAGAAACCGTGTATAATACGCACCGCGATTTTGATGGTTATTTTCATAGAAAGAAAGTGCGCATTATACAAGGGTAAATACGGTACTTCCATACCTTTGGTAACTCAATTTGCATTGTATGTTTTGTAGCAAATAAATGGGATTCAGATTGAAAAGAGTTTAGCTTCCTTTAGGTATAGGTATATTTGCATTATTGTTTGTTTCAGAATCACTATTAATACTGTTATCTAGAAAAAAGGATGAAACACAATGCAAACTAGTCTAAAATATTTGTACCACAACATTATTTGCATGTATTGAGACAGTCCAAAAATGCAAGGAAATGAACAAAATATGAGCCACAAGTAAGAAAGACCCATATTATCTCTCTCACCTTCAAATGCTTCTACATGAAAAGAGCTGTGGTGCTGCACCTTTCAGTAGAGCACTGATCAGATGTATTTTTATCAAGCTTGAAGAGTTGTCCACCAAATCCAGAAACCCTTTGAAGCAACAATTTTAGGCTTTTTCTCGCATTCATGTGCTGTCACATATGTATTTGCAGTCAATCATTACCATGGCACTGTTCAACCTGTTAGAAAAAGAATTTAATTGATAAGTAAGAAAAATTAAGCTTCAGCTGATCAATTTTTTAATTACAAGTCAATTTGGTTTAATCACCTGAGTTGATAAGGTTGATGTTTCAAGCATTAGCCCTTTGCCATTGACACAGTTTTTTAGAAACTTATCCGTTTTAATTTCTGATTTGATCTTTGAGTAAATTATCGATAACCTGAATTTCCATGTAGGAGTACTTCATATTAATTTAAAAACTCTCCAAACTATTCACTCTGAAGCAGACTTTATTTTTCTTTCAGGGAAATATTGCACTTAAAGATACATGATAACGTATTTACTCGTGTATAAGTCGACCTTTTATGACCAAAAAATCAGCCCAAAAAGTCATCCTCGACTTATACACGAGTCATACACAAAGACCTGACCCAAGAAATCCAAGAAATTAGCCTGAATCAGTTCTTATTGCGTTCGAGTTTCGTTAGTTTTCAGCGCTTTCTTCGTCAACGAAGTTTCAAATGATAAATTTTAAATGGCTTAACCACAATGCTACTAGAGCTGATTTCTATTTTGTCTAGTGATCTGTAGAGCAGACACTTTCCCTTACAGATCCGCAGCTGTTTACGGTGCTGAACTCTCGTTTACATCGAACGATTACAGTAGCTTAGTGACCTGGCAAATGCTGTTGTCTCGCGCGTAATCGTTTCTTACGCGCGATCCTTCGAAGCTCTTCGGTGTTCCTTCTGCTTACTAAATCTCCTTTCAAATTCAACATTGCGATAAAAAAGTTAGTTAAATGCAAGAAGATTTCATTTTCAATGCGATTTACAAAATATGGTTAAATATTTCTCTAGTAAATCGAAGCGCTCGTGTATGTTAAATCGTGGTAATATAAACAAGTACTTGTTTAAACTTCATAACACACGGTTACGTTTTGCTCCGCAATTTTTATTTAATTCACCGTGTTTTCAATACGCTCTCAGATATAGGAGATTAACTTTTTGGAAATTTCTATCGATCTGACCTTTACTTTAACCAGAATTGATGAAACATCCGATATTTGACCTTAAAAAATGGGGGGTTGAGTTGTACACTAGTTCGCGACTTATACACGGTAAATGCGGTACTTCTCTTTTAAATTACCTAGATCGAGCAGAGATAGACACTTCCTTAACTATTCTGTAATAATCCATGTTTTCACCCAAATGTTTTCGTATATTGTGGAAGATTCAACTTACCAAAGCCACTTAAACATACATATAAGCTTTGTGGTACAAAGCTGTTGTGTCAAAGACAATCCCTTATTTCTGTGTTTTTCTTTATCCAAGAAATAACAAAGCATGAGGCTATGCTGAAATCTTACCTTACAATTTTGTAACAATTTTCCAAGAAAATATCTAAAATATGCTTCATCGACTCTTGCTCCAGGATCAAATTTGGAAAGGAAGACAATTTCAACCAGAAAATATATATATTGCATTTATGGGCTCCAGAAAACACACAACCACTTAAGTTAGCATAAACCCGTAAGTACTAGCAAATGAAACCTATGCGAATCTGCGTACGATATATATTTAACATTCAACTTTGGACAAGAAACTATCATTAGCAGGTATAACACTGCGCTAAGCTGTGAAACTTCAGTATCACCATACAGCACAATGTAGTATGTTGAAATTCACGACAGTTTTTTTCTGACTCGTCTGCTTTGATAAAAACTGGCCTCCTTTTTTTCACTAGACTTGCAAGTGACGAGAGAAAAACCGATGCATACATCTAAAATTTAAGATAAGAATGCAAAAATATATGAACAATGGCAGCGGCCGCACTCGGATGCGAGAGTCATATATAGTGAAAGAATAGGGCTAAGTGCTAGGAAGAACTCGATGTTAATTTCATAGTGCTCTCAACAACAGCCACTCCTGGCAGGATTCGTGATTTGCTCAAGCCATCCCTAATTTCTCGGATAGTCCCAACGATTGCGATGGAAAACGCTATGACATCTACGCAAAATCAACATCATGTTCGAGAGAACTCAGCCTTGGAAGTTTACGTTGTACGCATCGGAAGGAAGAGGAATTCCCTTTTCCGTGAGTGTAGAGAAAGGAAACGAAAAGAAAGAAAGAGCAGAAGCGAGGAAATAAGAACGTGGTCCTCGCGCGAAGTCTGCATTTTCTTGGTTTCCCCCAAGTATTCTCATTTCATAACTCATTTCAGTGCGGCCGTTCAAAACATTTATATAATTTATTTTCAGGCGTCGACATCTTGATCACGATTGATCTATTTAGCAACAAGTAGTTGATTCTCACCTTGGAGTGTAAAGTGCATAGACATACGTTCATCCCGATGTAAACCACGAAATGTTTCCATAACTTCGCAAGGTGAAACAGGTGTAAACCATGACGTGTGAGAAGAACGCTGCGTTTTAATGAATTCCATTACTCCGACAAGGTCACGAGACTGTTGCAGATTTACAGCGCATGTTCTTTGTGCATTAAGACCGTTCGGAAAAATACACCATTGGACCCCTGGACTATTGGACTACTTTTTAGACCATTTTTATTGGACCACTTTTTGGACCCTTCTTTTGGACCAATTTCTTTTAAATTATTTTTTGGAACCATTTTATTGAGGAGAAGGTGGGATGTAGTTTTATCGGTACTCAGGGAGGGGTGAGAGGCAGACTTTTCACTGAGGGAGGGGTGGAAGGCGAACTATTAGTACGCAGGGAGGGGTGGGAGGTGGTTGAATTTGTAAATGCTACTGATTAATGATGGTAATAGGTCCGAGAGGGGTCTAATTCGGTCTGTAATCATACGAGTGATTAACAAAATCCTACGACCGCGAAGCAAGAGTCAGAGTTGTTAATTAAACGAAGTCCTGTAACCAATGAATCAAAACTATGACAGCATTTGTGAAAGAAACCAGACATTAGTTATACGTTTTCATAACAAAAACAACAGTTAACAAGAAATATGAATAAAGGGGGTAAGATTCTAGAGAAAATGTGATGTTGTGCCGATAGAAGTGGTATAACTAGATAATTGGGTTCTATAAACTGAGTTGATAATGTCATTTGGCCACCGTAAAGAGTTTCTAAAGCTGAAGTTTCATTCATACTGACAAAAGGCTGACGATCTAAACGTTTCTAAAGCTGACTAACGATAGCCTTAGAAACTCTTTACGGTGGCTAATTAACATCATCAACTCTATTGATAAAACCAGATTATCTAGAAATTAGTCAGACAGGCAGATATCATGTGAGAAAATTATATTGATTGCATTTATGTTCTTGCGGATCTGTATTTTAGTAAAGAAATCATTCAAATATATGTAGCACCAGCAGAGAATACAAGATTCCTGCTTGATACTCAAAAAACGATGATTGATGAAGCTCAGTTAGCCAGTACACAATACCTTCAAATTTTGTTCCAGCAGCCTCCTCAGATTCCAAACTTTTAGAAGCTAATAATTTACTGGAAGATGTTTCAACAGTTGTTGAGTTGTTTGATTCGTCAGAATTTTCAGTCATCACAATGCGTTTCATTTTGTTGCTCAAGTCTGAAATGATGAAACAAAATGGAAAATATCTTGATTAATTTATTTAAGAATCAAGTGATAACTTCAGTTCTATTTGGGACAGTGCTTCTTCTTCTTTGGCAGGATACTGATACCTACTATGGTTTACTTACATGTGCCCGTTCGGTGAGAGCAGCGAACTGCTGAGCAAATCAGACAAAACTATCTTGCATGGGACTACAAATATTGACAACTAAGTAAATGAGAAAACGCCGACGCCAAAATCACAGAGTAAAAGAATAAAAAGTGATAGTTGCAGAGTAAAAGCTTTGAACTCACCAAGTTGTTGTTGAGTCCTGTCAGTAGCTTTTGCTAGTTCTGACCAATCAATAGCCTTTGGGCATTCTTTGCCAGTGCTTGATTCTTTTAAAAGTCTGCGCAAAAAAAGTTTAGAATTACTAACTTTCGCACTTCTTTAACCACAGCATAATATATAATACAGTATATCTCGAGATTTGATAAGACTGTGTATGAAAGATCCATCGAAACGAAAGTACGGAGCTCTATATCCTGTATAATTTCGTGACTGATAGGATTAACAAATGTTATATTTAACATTATGTAAACTGCGGAGTTTCAACCCTGAGAAAAGCCTTAACTGTCTATTTTTCATGTAAAACAAGAGCAAAGTTGCAACACGAGTGCAAAGTCGTAACACGAGTGTAAATTACAAATAGCGCGCGCATGTGATGCGTTTTTCATGCAAATTATTAACAAGTAACAACAAGATTTCAGGTACAATTTGGTGTAAATACTGGCCTAGTGCGAATACTTGTAAATTTTTCGAAAAATACAAGTAGCACTCGCCCTACGGGCTCGTGCAATTTTGTTGTCCCTGAAAAATTTTCTTGTGCTGATCAACACTAAATTGCAATCAAAATCATGTTGTTCCCCATTATTACTCGATATCTATCGAGCGATCGTATTGAACACTCGAAGAGAAATTCCATATCTACGCCTGCCCATGTATTTTTATCTGTATATCTCCCTGTTGGTACGTGCGCTATGATTGGTGAACTTAGCGGGCCGTATTTCACTGCACAGCCCGTAAAATCGAAACGTTTGTTTGGCAGCTGTTAGACTATGACCTTCTAAAGAAACATCTCCATCGATACTACTCGATTATAAATCACATGCTTGAATGCATGTAAACCCTTTGCCTTATCGCCTTTAAACGTTACCTTTTTGTTATGTTCTCAAAGTAACGGGCAGTCCCTAAGTTGCCATGTTCCCTGGCGATAACCTCTGGCAATTGTGAATTACTCTTGTAAGCATCAAACACAATTCTTCCAGCCGAACAGGAAAAGATCATCTCAACAAACTGCTGTGCTCCCTCTTTTGCAGCCGTGTAAATCAGGAGGCATAACAACTGGACTTGCTGCGCGTGTCCTGAAAGTATAGGAGAAGAAAAAGACACATCGGCGCGTTCTAAGGTGCTCGTAGCGATTTTCACACATATTTCACACTTAAATTTCATATGGATTGGAAAGATACCTGAAAAGCATTTGAAAAACATGAAAATTATTATCCCTATCTGTCACACAGTGTTTAATATGGTGGCCTAGAAGGGTTATCACCAGCCCGATTTGAGAACTAATAGGACAGTGTACGCGTCATGCTTGTAATTAGACAGTGTAATTGGACGGTTGACACGTCATGCCTGCTTAAATGGACAGTACGCGTCATGAGCGAACGCTGTTGTCATGCATTTCCCCGCGTTAGCTGTTGCTTTTTTCAATGGAAACTTATAACCGATGTCCAGTTTCTTTCTCAGATTTTGTTATAAGTTAATAACTTGCGATCCAAAAATTCGAATGTCCCTTTAGAGCCACCGTACTTTACACATGCTGTTAATTAGTTCTAGAAGCCTACACATGGAAACTTCCATGTATGCATGCACATCAGTGCTCTAACGAGGATTTGGTGATGAACCGACCACTAATTTTGAGCTCAGGCCTCCTGCGAAACGCCCGAGTAATAAAGGGAAAACATACTTTCCTTGGGAGGGTATTTGCTGTTTTAGCTTGATTGATCGTCTCTCGAATCCCGACAACAGTCCTTATCAGCAGGATTGATCGTGTAGCCGAAGAGGGATTGTAGAAAATTGTCCAGTACCCTTATAAAGAGAGATTGGACTACATGATCTTCTCTTACTCTCCCCACTAGTAAAGAGAAGTGTGTTTTTATATGGCCATAGTTCACAGAGATTGAACTTTCCAAATAAATTAGAAAACTTTTTTCATTATACAATTGTTTGTTTATTTCTGTAGCTTACATCACTAAGTTCAGAACTATGCACATCTCCTCAATATTCTTTCTCTTCTTCTTTCTTTCTTTTCTTCTCTTTTTCTTTTTTCCTTTATAGTGGTCTTTATTTTGTCATGGCTCACCAGTTGGGCCGCTTGCCTTTGCCTTAGTTTTTGCCGGAGTAGTTGAAATTTTTCCTCAAGAATTTGCTTCCAGCTTTTAAAACCGCCCTCGAGAATAATTGAACGTTTGTATTCTTTCTCTGTTAGGCATCGGTCGACAGTAATAACCATTACACGAAAGCTATCGAGCTCGTAATCTTCCCCGTCTTTCGTACGAACTGTGGCGAGAAACTCATCGGAAAATAATTTCCTCTTCACCATTACACGAAAGCTATCGAGCTCGTAATCTTTCCCGTCTTTTGAACGAACTGTGGCGAGAAACTCATCGAAAAATCATTTCTTCCCCAACATTACACGAAAGCTATCGAGCTCGTAATCTTCCCCGTCTTTTGCACAAACTGTGGTGAGAAACCCATCGAAAAATCATGTCTTCTCCACCATTACACGAAAGCTATCGAGCTCGTAATCTTCCTCGTCTTTCGTACAAACTGTAACGAGAAACTCACCGAAAAATAATTTCTTCTTCATCCTCTTCTTTTACGTAAAATCTCTAAACTACATGCCTATATATTCACTACTGACAGATACGGGTGGGCATGCCAGCCGGTTGACTTTGGGAGATCAAACATTTGTTGTTAGAACGCTAAACCAAATAATTTCACGAGAATTTCGATCTGAACAATTAGCACTTAATCATAGTGCTTCCGAACAACTGAGTCAAGTTAGAAAGGCTGTCACAATTCGGAAACTCGTCACGACAGCTCAAACCGAAATAACTTCGGAATTTTAATTCATACATTAAATACTTTCCAAATGTAAACGAAAAATTGAATCATACTAAACTTACTAACCGACTGATTTACTAATTATAATCTAATTAAATGCTTCATAAAAATCATAAGTACCAAAATTGCACGAAACAAAGTTCAAGTACCACCTCATTGCATCCATTTTGAAATCGCAAAATTCAGTAGCTCAAATGCAGGATTTTTCAGCCTGTAAGGATATTTTTTGATCCATTCCCAGGTTTGTAAAAGTAGCATAAGTCGCCTTCCATTTTCCTGTAATTTGATTGGTTACTTAAAAAAGCCTTGAAATCTGATTGGGTGTAGTGTTTTAGTGAAGCTATCCCATTGGCTGGGGAAAAGAAGCAATTCAAAGCAAAAAATGGTTCCATTCGTAAGCAAACCGCACCGATGAAGGCCAACCAGATTGCAAGGATCACCACTGATTTTTAAAATGAATGTTCTAAAAAGGTTCACTTACCAAAAGTTGCAGAAGCCTGAGGTCTACCAGTACTGGTGCTATTTGCACCACGAAAGTCCTCGCTCATATCCTCGCAAAGTGTTCTAAGCATGCTTGGTTCTTTAAAGTGGACCATTTGACTTGTCTGCTTTTTATTTGGGTAATAAAATAGTCTTGTAAACCCTAGTAGGATCCTCCTTTGTGATTCAATTTCTACATCGGCCAAACCAGGTTCTAGTGCAGCTAAAGAAAACTCGAAAATTACTATCAAAAGATTTGTATTGTTTTCTACTATTATCTTGATACGCTTGAAGCAATACAGATATCAAGGTGTTTCTATCAGCTGGAAATAAAGCATTAGCATAAACATTCAGTTGATCAGATCACATTGATTATATCATCATTCGAATTCTTATTTTAACCTTAGGACTGCCTTGTCACTTAAGGAAGGGGGATATTGGCCCAACATATAAGCCCCATAGGATGTCTGTGTATTGATTTTTCCGTTTTATAGGGCTCGATACGCAGGAGTAGAGCGCAAGATATATTGCGATAGGGGGAAAAACAGAGAGACTATACTTTCATCCCTACAAGCCTGTTTCGTTATTACTCACTCATCAGGGGATTTTATTAGGGGGATAAAATCCCCTGATGAGTGAGTAATCACTTATAGGGATGAAAGTATACTCTCTCGAATTTTTCCCCTATCGCAATATATATATATATATATATTGTGATAGGGGAAAAAATTATATATATATATTTTTTTTTGAGTTGCAACGTTTTTAAAAATGGGTGTTTATATATATATATATATATATATTTATATATATATATATTTATATATATATATATATATATATATATATATATATATATAATGATTTGTCTATTTGCGCCATGCCACAGAAAATACGGCCAATCAGATAATAGGAAATCAGCTGTGTATTCGGCGAGATTACATCCACCCCTTCCATCATGCGCTGCGATATTCTACCTGCCGTATTAAATTCAGCAAGTGACGCCATTCCCAGCGTATTTCAAGTGTTCTTTGGGCTACATAGGGGCCAAATATTTCCATCGACTTTAATTTCGAGGTCGAATCAGCAGAAAATAAATATTAAACCAAAAAGACACGGCTGAGCCAAGAAATCCAGGAACAGTAACGAAAACTAATTTAAATTTCAGATTTTCATCCCAAATCCATCTCGTTCAGAGGAAAGAGGTCTGACCGAAAGTTACAGAACAGACTCGGAATCTACTTGTTAAATGTTTTATAAGCTAAGCCTGCAAACCCACTGGTAGATAACGAAAGTGAGTGAAAAATGAATTGATGTTTGGAGTTACACTTACATTTAAAGGGACGATTTATAAAAATCAGTTGCAAATATGCAATATGTTGAAAAGAAATGTCGCGCCGTTCGTTTTGAATTTTGTCACGCGGTGAAAGAGTTTCACCAGTTTTTCCAAAACATCGGCAAAAGAAATTAAAGTTCCGTGGAACTGGTATTAATAAATAAACAGGCTCTTCATTCAGTTGTCCTCCTGAAAGACTTATTAGCAAGGGGACGAAAACTACAAACTAACAATAGGCAACAAAGCTACATAATTTCAGTAATTTGGAGTACGTAACGATTCCGTCATACTGCCCGCGATCAGAAAGTTTTAGTTGGTTGAAGCTTCAGAGAGAGCTCCAATTTAAGGAGAGGCGAGTCGTGAGTAAAAAAGAGCTTGACACGGCTGGAGCGGTTTTTCCTTCGATTTCTCAATGCAAAGTTTTTAGAGTTAAAAATTAGGTTCACAAAATGACAAAAAAGTCCAAATTCAACTACTCTTCTACAGCAAATTGTAGCTTTTGCCTATATCTTCCATACCACCATTTCTCCTTGGACAAAATTTACTAAATACTTTATTATCCTTTTTGCTTGACTCTAATAAAAATTATATCAGGGTTACAGTTTAAGTTACTTATAAAAGGAGAGAAATACCTGGAATACTAAATCCGTTTAAGCAATCAAACCTTACGGATCTTTCCAGCTCAACAGTGGCAAAAACATTGCCTCTTTTTTTGAATTTAGCAAACCCTGAGGTGACCGTTGGATCAAGAGCTGGAATAAATGTAACATTGAAAGGAGCTCCACCCTACAGGTTTTTAAAAAAAGCGAATGGTTAGAAAATTTCAACAAACAGCAATTACAAGTGTGACATATAACTAAGAAATCACGCGATTACTTTTTCTGAGGCCAAATGCTAGCCTAAGTGTAGCCGTACCCTCCCCCCTAAGGTGAAACGGCAGAGGGGGAACCTCGCTTCCTTTTCATCTTGGGGGAAAGGGTACGGCTAGACGTAGGCATACTAAATGCACGCAAAGCATCGGGCCCTAACTGCAAAAGATAAATTCGCTTAAGCCTATTTCTGCTTAAAGGGACTCTGTAAATGAAAATCTTTGTCAAAATGCCTCAATCGGCTTTTATTTAATTCGAAGGGAGAACAATAAACCGAAAACTTTCTCAAAAAAGATCTATGTTCTATCATGTCCATTTCCAATGAACTAACTCGGTTACTGATCAGGTTTTTGCATTTTTGAAAAGATGAAGATCACTGTTTAAATGCAGTAGAATAATTAGTAGAATATAAGATAATTTGGTACAAGCTTACATGATTAACAGAATGTTTGAACTCCTAAGCATATCTTTAAAGAACAGTGGTAAGTCACTTTACCTGCAATGGACTTTCCGCAGGTGCTATCGTAGCTTCATAATGTAAGTTGTCGCGTAAGCATTGTATCCAACTCTGATAATCTAAATTATGACAGCAAGGGTCTTTTTAGTCCAAAAGCTTATACTGTCGCTCAATGAGTAAGAATAAAAACTTAGGTCCATAACACATACCATGTGGAGGTTCACTCATAACAATGTAGAGAACAGAATTGCCTCTTATATTCCTTCTGATCGTAGATCCATCCCAAATACGCCGGTCGCCATGAAAATTAAATGCGTTGCTTTGATTATTGATTCCTGCACATGAAAACCTGCCCATTCAAAAACATCTGTGTCAAAATCATTTTTACTCAATACCAGTAAGTTTCAGAGGGCTTTCGGCGCTTCCCGCTTTATTTTAAGCGAATTTTATTTGGAATTATTACGCAGAAGAAATAAGCGGGAATATCGTGAAAGAGCTGTTGTTCTCAAAATAAATTCACATGCTGAAATCTCAAAGACATAGAAACGACTCTGTGACCTAAACATAAAAACACTGCATACAATTTTGGGATAACATAGTATTATGAAAGATATAAAAGAAAGTATTGCAATGAATATAAACGTAGATTAAATATAGGGAAAAGCAGTTTCTGATGCCAGCCAATAGATCTCCCACCTAGCTCCAAAACAGTGCAACCTCTTGGTATCTCTTACTTCAAAATATTACTAAAAAAGAAAGACAAAACATTCTCCTACCCTTCATTTAAGTTAAAGGCTGGAAACGAGTTCTGGAGTGTTTGTTGCACAATCTGCTCCGACATGTTTGTAGAAAACTGAACATTTTGTCTATACTGTCTTGTGTCTGGCCTTCTTATTCTTGCCATTTCGATAGTGTTGGGGATTAACACGCTTCCATTACTTCTTTGACAATCCTCAAGCCTCAATAGAATGACGTTTCTAATAAAATGATTAATCTCCGCAGCAGCCATCAGGTCACAGTGTAGTTTACAGTGGGACTGCTTTCTGAAAAATGGAATTGAATACAACCGATCAAAAATAAGACACCAATACTGGCTGCACATTTGTGTATACAAATAGCTCCTGTCACGTGTATCATATGATATGTTATTGAAATTCTATGGTTTCCGGACCGTGTGAACGAGGTCTTGACAAGTGCATTATTTTTAAGTCTGATGTCACAGTTTTTCACCCAGGTGACCAACTCCAGACCGTTTTTTCTCTCTCTGAGTTCACTTTGGTTTCCCGCGCCAAGTTGATTTCTCAATAATTTTTTCAAACGCAAACGTATCATTGAATGGGTTGCAATTAATGCACGGTCAAACCGTTCGTAATTTAAAAATAATAATAATAATAAGAAGAAGAAGAAGAAGAAGTTATTATTGCCAATTCATAGGCGAAAATGAGTCACCACACGATTTAGCAAAGCGTTAACGTTGCTCGTGAGCAGAGCCAATCATATTGCAGATACTTTTTATCAGTTTAAAAGTTTTTTCCTTGATGACCCATAGGTGTGATCTATTTCGACTGTAAATCTTCCTGTAAAATACGTAATCTATAAATATTTGCATTCTAGGAATGGTAGAGCATATTAAATGGAAAAACTACAAAGCGTGACGAGGTAATCAAATATAATGACACAGTTTGAGATAAAAAAAAAACTCGAAAAGGTTGATACTCTGTGGAATTGCAAAATGCAACCAGTGCAATCATTTCATACGAATAGTTTAGGAGGTAAACTTCCTCTTTAGATATTCCTTCTTACTGACTTTTAAACCAAATTCGAAAATAGCCGGGTGCAAAACTGTGAGGCAGCGTTACATTTACATAGTTGGACGGTGTACTAAAAATCTGAAATTTATATTAGATGCTTGAAGTGTTCACATTCACCGAAAATCAGCGATCCGTTTGTTTCCTACGCACCAGTCACGAGGAGACCGGACAAGCCTCCAACCCTTAAGAGAACAACAAATGGGAACCATTTCTTGTTGTGTCGCTCTTATTTAAAACTATGAAGGACGATCGAGAGGGTTAATCACCGAATTTCATCAACTTGTCAATGCAACTTACTGAAGTGGAAATGAAATCATGAACGAGCGGAGGTTTCGGTTTCACTTTTATCATCTTTTGGTGACGGACAACAAGATAACGTTGATCAAGGCATGCATAAAAATTGTTGTAAATCAAATGAAGATAACCTAAATGGTTGCAATGGCAACACAGAGACCCAAATTAAAACATACAGTAAATATTCATTCTCAATCAACCTGGCAGAAACTACTTAAAAGCTGTTCCGCTAAAATCTGCGATGGACATGAATCATTGAGAATATTCTTGTCATGTCACAACATGTTGCTGAGACTGTTGTTTCTTTTAGAACGATATCGTACAATTGTGTCACACACTTAAAAGTGCACCCAAAGCTGAAAGCGGAAGTAAATTATTTTCTTCAAAATATAATAAACCCTATGTCTAGTTTAACTGCGAGATCCTTCTATCACAAACATGATCGCGAGCGACATATCATGATTTATTTCCCAAGATTTAGCACAATAGTTTCGAAGTATAGTTAAACAATGTTGTAGAAATTTAGATGAGAAATTTTTTTCCGTGTCGCTTATCATTCTTGAAGCGAGTAAAACAGATACATTTCGCCGGTAAAAGGTGTCTTAACTACGCTTTCATATTTTAATATTAATTTCAGCCAGAACGTATGAACTTCATCTTGAATTTCAGTTCATAAAATTGCGCTGCGAAACAAAGTTAAGAATTATCTCTTATCGACTATCAAAATTCGAGAGTTTACGCTGACTGTCCTAGTAAGCCGAAGGACCGTGTTTAAGCTAGCAGCAAACCTGCATTAAAAGTCAATCAAAAGAATCCTTACCATACACTAAGCGCAATCGATAACGTTAACCCAACTTTAGGCAAAAGCGTTCTCTCCAATCTTAAAGTCACCCACTACCAAGCGAACACAGAATGAGTATGAATAACTCACTCCAATTTGCATTTGGTTATAAAATTGTTAGATCCGACTGTAAAGCGCGTGTGCGGTGTACGAGGTGAGTTTATTTTAAGTAGCTTATCGAAATAATCGGATTTAGCCAAATATGCGCGTGTGTCATCTCGTTGAATGCTCGAACGGCGCATGTGCCGGGTACAGATTGTTCACGTTTTGCAAGAGCGGTTTTGCACACTCCTTTGTTTGCTTTCATGACTTAGCATTTTACCTCTCACCTCCGTAAGCACAAAATGATCGTAGCCCTCCATCTCTCATTCAAGTTAAAATACGTGGAATAGATGTTCTCTAAAGAGTAATAGGAGTCTCGCATTTGGTACTCTACGCATGACTCAAGTATAATGAAGAAATGAAAAATGGTTTACATTTCTTTAATAAAATAACTAATGAAAGAGCCTCTTCTTGCAACGAAGGAAAGCGACGTGCTTGTTTTTGTTGTTCATTTGGCTTTTCGGCCGTTTCTTGAATACTGGGAAAATTAAACTCCAAAGAAAAATTATGAAAATCTTCTTCTTCCATTACTGTACTCAAAACAAACTTATAGAAACTGAGTTGCTGCTAAATAAATAGCAGGGAGAACTCCGCGAGAAGATTCAGTATGAAAACCGTGTTTACATACGCTCGTGTAAAATGGTTTTATGGCCAATCAAGTTGAGAGTTGACGCCACTCTATTTGATCAGGCAAAAAAACATCAATCAACCGTTAATCAAGAGAATACAGCATATAATAATTACCACCTTCAACATCGAGGATGCGACACAATTTGAAGCCGAAAGCGCTCTCTTAACGTGAACTCACCAAGGGCCGATTGAAATAAAAGTTAACTTGTTTTAAAATCTACTCCCTGAATTCTTTTATGCAGCTATTTACGTACATGTTTGGTCGTAAGATTATGAGGTGTAAGCTGTATCGTGCATAAGCGGTGTATTTTTTTTCCGCTAGCAATTTTTCGTTGCGTGAGTTGATTCATAAGTAACGCATCTAAGACTATAGTCAAGCATAACAAATGGGTCACGATAACGTCAAATAGACGTTGTTTTTCTCATACCTGTCGATGTTCGCATCGCTAATTGAGCATGAGCACCGTGAAAATGGCCAACAACTCAAACTATTATTTTTCTGGACGGCACGATTTCACTATCCTGCTAAATTCTGCGATGAACATGAGTCGCACCTGCGCTTGTCATGCCACAACATGTTGCTGAGACCGTTATTTCTTTTAAAACGAAATTACACAATTGTGTCAAAGACCCAAAAGTGCACCCAAAACTAAAAGCGGAAGTAAATTATTTTCTACAAAATATAATAAACCCTATGTTTAGTTGAACTGCGAGATCCTTCTGTCACAAACATGATTGCGAGCGATGTATCATGATTTCTTTCACAAGATTTAGCACAATAGCTTCGACGTATGTTGTATAAATTTAGTTAAGAAATTTTCTTTCGTCTCGCTTATCATTCTTGAAGCGAGTAAAGCAGACAAAACATTTCGCCGGTAAAAGGCGTCCTAACTACGCTTTCATATTTCAATATTAATTTCAGCCTAAACGTACGAGCTTCATCTTGAATTTTAGTCCATAAAATTGCGCTGCGAAACAAAGTTAAGAGTTATCTCTATCGACTACCAAAATTTTAGAGTTTACACCAACTGTCCTAGTTAGCCGAAGCACTGTGTTTAAGCTGGCAGCAAACCTACATCAAGAATCAATCAAAAGAATCCTTACCGTACACTAAGTGCAATCGATAACGTCAGCTCAACTTTAGGCAAAAGCGTTCTGTCCAATCTTAAAGTCACCCTGTACCGAGCTAACAAAGAATGAGCACGAATAACTGCCCCCTCTTTTTTATAGGAATAATTACATTCAGTCATAAGATTGTTTAATGCGACTGTACAGCGCATGTGCGGCGTACAAGGCGAGTTTATTTTAAGTAACTTGTCTAAAAACAACCGGATGCAGCTAAATAGACAAGTGTGCCATGTCGTTGAATGCTCGAATATCGCATGTGCCAGGTACAGATTGTTTACTATTTGCAAGAGCGGTTTTGTCCCCTTCATCTGCCATGATAACTTACTATTGTTTGCTTTCATAACGTAGCTTTTTACCCCTCACCTCGGTAAGCAGATGTTCTTATAACGAGTAATAGAGTCTCGCATTCGATGCTCGACGCATGTGACTCAAGTATAGATGAATCGGAAAAATAAAAACGAAAACAGAATGGATCAGCAGATGAATCATAACGTAATAGGTGAGTGATCTAACTAAGATCATTATGAGGTATTATTTGGTGTAAAATTGCA